AGGGGGTCTATGTCGACTCCAGCTCCAGTTCATATGGGGGGGGGAGCATTCTGCAGAAGGCGGGGTATCGTCTCCACATTTGGGGGCTGCCTCGCCACCGAGTCGACCTTCCCCGATCCATAGACCCCAAGCTGGCCTCCTCCACTATCCTACCACCTGGTTACCTCTTTGCTTCTTCGTCCTCCAGCAATTCAGGCTCGGTCCCCGCCATTACCACATCGCACTCCGCGGCAGCCGCCATCTTACCGCCGGGACCAGAGAGCCGAGTGGGAGGCAGGCGGTGAAGAGCACTTCCGGCGGGAGCGTCGAGCCGCTCAGCGGCGCCGCGCCCAGAGGGACTACCTCGAGCGCGTCTACCAACGAGAGGCTCCGCTTGGGGCCAGAGCGGCCGCCCATCCCTGGCGGTCCACGGTGGTCTCCGCCCTGGGGCGGGGGCCCAGGGACGGCTCCTGTGCGTAGGGGGCGCCACTTTACTCGCAGATAGGAGGACGGTACAGAAGAAGGATATTGCCTCTCTAGGCCTTGGCTTGCCTCAATAGCCCGACAGCCTGGTTGCCATAACAACTTGCAATCCTAGAGCGTCTCCTGTGAAGCTGTAGAGTCCCGGGTGGGTGGAGATGGGTCACCCAAGACTCTGGAGGTGAAAAGGCCCCGTACGACTACCTTCCCGACCTCGGAGTGTGTCCACGGCGTCCTCCCCGGAAAGGCATGAAGCGCTACTTTGAGCCCAGTCCCCCAGCTTTCATCGACGACTGGAAGCCCTGCCCAGCCAAGCCAGGGGAACGCAGGGCGTCTTCACCCTGCGCCTTTCATCCTCCTCGGATCTCCAAGCACCAAATGGTTCATCACCCTAATGACGCGAACCCTTTTATGAGGCCGCTTTCATGTCAACCGCTTGGGAGTGCCATCTCAGCATTAAGTCTAGAGAGGATGACATGGCGCCCCAGCCCCTGCCCCAGAGTTTATAAGGCAGCTCATGGGGTGAGGTCCCTTTTCCTCAGTGTCCCCTGTACTCCTGCGTCTCATAAACTCTACCCAGCACGCTTTGCCTGGCCCAATGCGGTCTGGATTGGGAAGACAGGCTAATCATTTTTGTAGTACCACGAGTACGCCCAACAGTATTTCTGGAGCTGAATTAAATGGGGGCCCTCTGAGGTTAAATGTTCGGAGGAGATGACTTAGAGGTACTTTAAAGGCAAAAGGAACGAAAATAAGGCAGTGGAATTTTAACAGTGTCTATGCCCCTTCCCTTAAGGAAAATTGCACTAAGGCCCCTAACCTGTTTTGGGGGAACTGACACCACGGGGCCCACAGAACTGGAGTTCAGTGGATTGAGAGTGGTCATTCAGCCTTTACCTGCACTGCTGGTTGGGGGTGGGATGGCAAAACCCTCACCACCCACACTGCCTGTCAGTGGCTCACCTCACAGTACGCAGTCTAATTAAAGACCAAGCTGGTTTTTTACTTCCAACTTTTTGTCATCTGCGGCTGAACTTACCCATCTACTCCAACAACCTTAGCTTCATCCCAACTTTCAATTCTTCCTGTTGCCTAGACATTTTAAAAATGATGTGCGTGTGCATGTGTCTTTGTGAGTGCACACCAGGTGTGTGCAGAGGCCAGAAGCAGGTTTCGGGTTCCCTGGAGCTAGGGTTAACAGGTAGTTGTGAGCAGCTCAACACATGCTGGGAGCGGTGTCCTCTAGCAGAGCAGCTAGTGCTCATAGCCACCAACCCTCTTCTCCAGCCCCCTCCTAGACTTTTTTCAGACTTCCACACTTCCCTAACCAATTATCTATTATCTCTTGGGCGTTTCAAAAGTTCCCAGAACTTAACCTATTTCTTAGTTTCTTTAGCGACAAGGTTTCATGTAGCCCAGTCTTTCCTCAAACTTGCTATGTAACCTTGAACTTCTGATTCTCCTGTCTCCATCTCCAGGATGGCAGGCGTCTGATTTCATGCCTGTTTTTATATGGTGCTGGAGATCAAACCCAGGGCTTCATACCTGCCAGGTCCTCTGCCAACTGAGCTACATCCCTTAATCCCTTCACCCATTTTGTTTGTTTGTTCTTTCGAGACAGGGTTTCTCTGTAGCTTTGGATCCTGTCCTGGAACTAGCTCTTCAGGATCAGACTGGTCTCAAACTCACAGAGATCCGCCTGCCTCGGCCTCCCAAGTGCTAGGACTAAAGGCGTGTACCACCACTACCCGCCTCTCACTTCAGCCATTTATTGAAGTTACTTTCACCCATTTCTCAACAACAGAAAAAAGGGCAAATTTTTATTCTTTCCTGAATTTCTTTTTCTTGTTTTTGTTTTTCGAGACAGAGTTTCTCTGTATTGTTTTAGAGGCTGTCTTGGAACTTGCTCTGTAGACCAGGCTGGCCTTGAACTCACAGAGATCCGCCTGCCTCTGCCTCCCGAGTGCTGGGATTAAAGGTGTGCACTACCAACGCCTGGTTTCTTTTATTATTTTTTTAAAGATTTATTTATTTAGTATGTATACAGTGATTTATCTGCATACGTGCCTGCATGCCATAAGAGGGCACCAGATCTCATTACAGATGGTTGTGAGCCACCATGTGGTTGCTGGGAATTGAACTCAGGACCTCTGGAAGAGCAGCCAGTGCTCTTAACCTCTGAGCCATCTCTGCAGCCTTTTCCTGAAATTTTTGTGCTGTATATTCATCTGTTCAACTGGCTCCCACATGGAACATGCGGCATGGAATGTGCTGCCTTCAGGGTTGTTCTTGACTTGCAATCTGTCATCAACACTTCTTTTTTTTTTGTTTGTTTTTCAAGACAGGGTTTCTCTGTAGCTTTGGAGACTGTCCTGGAACTCACTTTGTATACCAGGCTGGCCTCAAACTCACAGAGATCTGCCTGCCTCTGCCTCCCGAGTGCTGGGAATAAAGGCGTGGGCCACGAACGCCCGGCAACACTTCTTTTTTTTTAAAAATATTTATTTATTGTGTATACAGCCTTCTGCCTACAGGCCAGCAGAGGGTACCAGATCTCATTCAAGGTGGTTGTGAGCCACCATGTGGTTGCCGGGAATTGAACTCAGGACCTCTGGAAGGGCAGCCAGTGCTCTTAACCTCTGAGCCATCTCTCCAGGCCCAGTCGTCAACACTTTTTTTTTTTTTTTTTTTTTTTTTGGTTTTTTGAGACAGGGTTTCTCTGTGGCTTTGGAGGCTGTCCTGGAACTCTCTCTGTAGACCAGGCTGGTCTCGAATTCACAGAGATCCGCCTGCCTGTGCCTCCCAAGTGCTGGGATTAAAGGCGTGTGCCACCAACGCCCGGCCTGTCAACACTTCTTGATTCACCTGCTTCATGTCCAAAAATCTCTGTCATCCCCTAAGTGTCCCTCAGTCTCATCTCTGTCACGCCTGGGCTTTCTGTTGCTGTGAGTTTGGTCTCTGACCTACCACACATCTTTGTTATTTGGCTCCTCTTTGTGGTCAGTATTGAATGAACCCCCAGGGATTTGTGGCTCTAGAAATGTCATGGTTCTTGCTGTATTTCCTCTGCTTTAGTCCTTAGTCCTTTAAACCTGAGCATAGGCACGCCCTTCTCCTCCCTTTGGACTCTGTTGTCCCCAAGTTAAATGCCCCTCTGCTGTGCCCCTAGCATCCCACCTCAGTGACAGAATTCATCACAGTGTGTGATAATTTTTGGTCTGGATGTCTAAGTCTTTTTTTTTTTTTTTTTTTTTTGGTTTTTCTAGACAGGGTTTCTCTGTGGCTTTGGAGACTGTCCTGGAACTAGCTCTTGTAGACCAGGCTGGCCTCTAACTCATAGAGATCCACCTGCCTCTGCCTCCCAAGTGCTGGGATTAAAGGCGTGCACCACCAATGCCCGGCGATGTCTAATTCTATTAGTGGACTTATGGGCAGTCACCTTATCTAACTTCCTTTGCATATAGCCCCACACAAGGCATGGACAAGACAAAGTTGAGCTTTTTTTTTTTTTTTTGAAACAGGTTCTCTGTGTAGACTATGTTGTCTTTGAACTCAAAATCACCCCCACTTCATCCTCCAAGGGCTGGGATACAAATGTGAGACCCACTCCAGGTTAAAAAAATTTCAGGTTTAGCCAGGAGTGGTGGTGCACACCTTAAGTCCCAGCGTTTGAGAGGCAGAAAGGATCTCTGTGAGCTTGAGGCCAGCCTGGTCTATAGTGTGAATTCTCAGACAGCCAGGGCTACGAAAAGAAACATTGTCAAAATATATATATATATATTTCAAAAGAGCACTTACCTAGTATATGAAGAACCATTCATAGCACTGCCAAGAAAAGAAAAAACACGTATTGACTAAATGATAGAAGCTGGGCGGTGGTGGCCTATGTCTCTAATCCCTACACTTGGGAGGCAGAGGCTGGCGGATCTCTGAGAGCTCAAGGCCAGCCTGGTCTACAGAGTGAGTTCCAGGACAGGCTCCAAAGCAATACAGAGAAACCCTGTCTCGAAAAAACCAAACCAAACCAAACAAAAGATGATAGAATTAGCCGGGCGTTGGTGGCGCACGCCTTTAATCCCAGCACTCGGGAGACAGAGGCAGGCGCATCTCTGTGAGTTCGAGGCCAGCCTGGTCTACAGAGCGAGTTCCAGAACAGCCTCCAAAGCCACAGAGAAACCCTGTCTCGAAAAAGCAAAAAAAAAAATGATAGAATTAACGAAGAATTACTGTTCCGTAGAGAGAGAACATTTCGGTATCAGAGCATCAACTTGGTATCCACACACAACCACAAGTTCTGGCCGGCATTTCCCCGCCGGCTTCTGGGAGGCGCTGTGCGACCAGTGCTCGCTTTGCGCCGCCGGAAGTTGTCTTGAAGGCAGGTCGTTGGGGGCGGGGCTTCAGGGCAAGTACTTCCACCCAGAGGAAGAGGGGCGTCCTTACCGTCGAACTGCCCCTCCCATGGTCCGGCCCACTCCGGGGGGCACCTCAGCGGGAGTGCTGCGGGGACCCCGGAGGTATGGAGCTGGGAGGCGGGGCTCAGATCGTCCTTGGTCCCTGGTTCGCTTTGGTTGTCCTGTTGTGCCTCTGATAGTTTCTGAGGAGTGCCCTTCAGGGGAAGTCTGCGGCAGCGGCCTCTGGCAGCCTCTAGAGCCTCGTTTACTAAAACGCTCAGCCCATGGGGTGGAGATCGGTGTCAAGAGAATCTCCTGGAGAGGTTTTTGCTTGGGACCGCTTTGGGGCTGGATCTCTGCTTTCTGAGGGGGAGGGAGGGGAGATCACTGGAGTTTCCCAGGAGCCTGTGTTTGAGAGTGTCCCATGAGGAGACCTCTCTCTGGAGTTTGTAAGTCTGAGCTTTCCCTCCGTGCTTGTGAGTACCGGGCCGTCAAACCCTTTTCCGAAGCGTCTTTCCCGTGATTCGTGATTCCGTCACTCCTTTCTTGTCTGATGTTCTTTTTTTTTTTAACCTGTTGGATTTATTCTCACCCAGTTAGTCATTCCGGAAAGCAAGTTATTCTCTCTATTTGCACACACTCGTCAAGAAGCTGATTGGAGTCCAATCTTAGTTTTTCCTGGGGGTCATGGTTAAAGAGAGAAATCAGCCTGGTATGCACACGCCTCAACTATTTCATCAGCTGGAAGCCAGCTTGAATGACATGAGATCCTGTCTCCAAAACAAACACACAACAGAAAAGAGCAAGAGTGCCTGTGGAACTCCCTTCAGTAATTGGTGCCTTATACATCCTGTGCACCGGGAAGAACCTGGGCACCCGCTTTTGTTTTTTGTTTTTTCAAACCACTCTCTGGGCCTCTCCCTTTATGGGACCATTAATCCTACACCTGCGGTGTGCCAAATCCTGTGGCCACTCCTGGGACAAGTAGGTTAATTACAGTACAGCTCACTGCTCAGCAGTGCTTGTAAACACATCGGGGTACATCGGGGTAGTGCTTCCCGGGCTGCCATCGCTCTGGATTCCGACTTCCCTTAACCACACTACTCCTGTTCTTCAAGGGTGAAAGCTAAGCATGGGGAAGAGCTGCAAGGTGGTCGTGTGTGGCCAGGCATCTGTGGGCAAAACCTCAATTCTTGAGCAGCTCCTGTACGGGAACCACGTTGTGGGTGAGTGTTGCTGGGGCTGGCGGGCAGGTGGAAGATGTTGAATAATGCAGCAGGGTTTGATCACATTATGAACACAAAGGCTAATAGGGGCACCAGCTGCTTTTACACCCTCAAAATTGGGTCTGAGGGCATGGTTGACTGTTAGAGTACTGAACTAACATGGAGAAGGGCTTGGGTTTGAACCCCAGCAATGGAAAAAGAAAAGTCAAACATTGTGTCCCCCAGTTCCACACCATTGAACAAATCTAAAAGGGAGAAACCCAAAGCCAAGATAGGAAAAACAAAACCCCGCATAGCGCTTCTGTGCGATTGTGAGTGTGCATGTCTGTGCATGCATGCCCGTGTGTGCACACTGTGCACAGACCAGAGGTGGGTGTACAGTGTCCGCTTCTATCACTCTGCACATTTCTTGTTGTTATTGCTATTATCATCTTTGAGATAGCATCACCATATATACCAGGCTAGCCTGGAACTCACAAAGATCAACTTGCCTCTGTCCCTGCCCCTCCAAGGGCTACAATTGAAGGTGTGGGGCACCACACCCAGTTTTGTGTTGCACTCTTGCTTGGTGTGATAATGACGTGGCATTCATCCCTGTCCAACTCTCTCAAATCTGGCCTCTGAACCCCCACATTGCTTATGCTCCCCGTCTCGTCAGCTTGTTAGGATGTCCACCTCTCTCACATTTCCCATCCCCCTTCACTCTTAATCAAGTCTCATTTTAACCCAGGTTCTGAGATGATTGAGACCCAGGAAGACATCTATGTGGGCTCTATTGAGACAGACCGAGGGGTGCGGGAGCAGGTGCGTTTCTATGACACTCGGGGTCTCCGGGATGGGGCCGAGCTGCCCAGGCACTGCTTCTCCTGCACTGATGGCTACGTCCTGGTCTACAGCACAGACAGTCGAGAATCGTTTCAGCGAGTCGAGCTGCTCAAGAAGGAAATCGACAAGTCCAAAGACAAGAAGGAGGTACATGTACCGGACTTCTGCAGGGAGCCCAGTAGTAGGAGAGCGTGGCTCTCCTTGGCAGGCTGTGGGGTACTGGCATGATTCCAGTTGCGCTCATTTGCCAAGAGGTTATTTAGGAGTCAGAAGATCATGAAGGTCACTGGGGAGGATCTGCAACCCACACAAGAGGTGGCCGTATGATAGGACAATTCAAAGAGACTTGTTTGATTTAATAGGGTCCCTTCTATGTTTTTTTGTTTTGTTTTGTTTTTATGTGGCCTTGGAGGCTGTCCTGGAACTAGCTCTTGTAGACCAGGCTGGTCTCGAACTCACAGAGATCCACCTGCCTCTGCCTCCTGAGTGTTGGGATTAAAGGCGTGCACCACCACCAGCTAGCATAGGGTCCCTTCTAACACATGAGGCTCCCCCTAATCATTCTTCGCTGTGGTTTCATGCTCTTGCCAGTCCTCCAAAGTTCTGTAAGCTGTTGGCCTCTGGGAACTGCATCTTCCCCAGTTGTTGGCCAGAAACAGCTGACAGCTACTCCTGATCCTGAACCACGCATGGATGGATGGATGGATGTGTGTGTGTGTGTGTGTATTCTCTTTTTTCTTTTTTGAAACAAGGTCTCTTTGTATAACAGCTCTGGCTGTGCTGGAACTCACTCATAGACCAGGCTGGCCTCAAACTCAATGAGATCCTCCTGCCTCTGCCTCCCGAGTGCTGGGATTAAAGGTGTGTGCCAACCCCCTCCAGTCAGCCTCTACTCTTGTCTCTCTTCTCCAGGTCACCATCGTGGTCCTTGGCAACAAGTGTGATCTGCAGGAGCAGCGTCGTGTAGACCCCGACGTGGCCCAGCACTGGGCCAAGTCAGAGAAGGTGAAACTGTGGGAGGTGTCGGTGGCTGACCGCCGCTCCCTCCTGGAACCTTTCATCTACCTGGCCAGCAAGATGACCCAGCCCCAGAGCAAGTCTGCCTTCCCCCTCAGCCGCAAGAACAAGGGCAGTGGTTCCTTGGATGGCTGAAGAGCTGCCCTTCTTTCTTTACTGTCCCAGCACTATCCCAGCATGGGTCGAGGGCGCGGGGTGCAGAAGCAAGCTGCTCTTCCAATCAGTAAGGAGCAATCCTCTAGGCCAGGGAGCTGGGCTGGCCCAGGCCAGTGCCACTTTTGTCCCCTCCTGACTCCAAGAAATGCAAGTGAACGTGATTGCTGGCCCTCCCCCTCGACCCTTCCACGACAGTCCCCACCCCACCCCCAGCTCACATCACATTTTCTCCACTGTTACCTGGACACTTCTGGTACATAGTGTCCCCTCCATCTGCCTGGGGCAGGAAGCAGGGCAGGCATGCCTAAGTGCCCAGTCCAGGATCGGCTCCTATCAGGGATTCCAACTCTCTAAATTTCCTGCCAGTAACACAGCACCAACCTGGTCTTGAGAAAGTGACCAGGTATTGTGAGCCCAGAGTTCTATGTACTGATCTAGGGTTGGCTCCTCGTTCCTTACCCTGACCTTTCTCCTGACTTGTCCAAGGCTGGGAAAAGCCAGGCTCCTGGGATTGGTGTTTTCTGTTTGACCTCCACCCATCTCCCAGCTGTTTCACTTCCTCTTCCTGCTCTGGGAGTAGAGGCCTCATTGGTTGAGGTGGAGCAGAATGATGACTGGGCTGTCAATCACCCTATGACCTAGCAAGGTCAGTCTTCTCTAGGCGTCAGTTTTCTCATCTGTGAGGTGACAGGAGCTTGGATGATCACTTGCAGCCTTGGCAGCTCTGTGTTTTTCTAAAGCCAGTGGCTTGGGCCACCTGTGTCTGCCCCTGCTTCACCCTCTTCAAGGTGCTACACCTCCCAGCCCTGGAGGCTGGACAAGCCTCTCCTTCAACCACCAGGGGGCAGGAGTGCACTCTGCTCATTGGCACAGTCTTGGGACCTGCCCATAGTGGATGTCCATCCCTCCTGGTTGTTTTCAGCTAGTAGCTGGACTTATATTTATATTTTCTCTCTGTATTTCTACGCCTGCTACCCTGGCGAAGGTGGGATAAGCCGCTCCTCTAGCCCTTCTTACCTCAGATGCCTGAACAGAACCAGGCAGAGCAGTAGCAGCTTCCTAGGAGCTGACAGGCCTTGTGCCATCAAGTGAGCATACAACCCACACCTTCTGGTGCCTGCCTTGAGCTTTTGATGTGCACGCCTCACATGAGTTAGACACCACAGCCGGGCCACCTCCAACACCACCCCTTCTCCCCAGAACAGGCGGGAAGGGGCTGATGCCCAGGGCTGGGAAGGAAAGTTAAGGCATCAACAGGCTCAGGCTTGAAGTTCATTTATTAATGTGTTGGACACAATAAAACCACGACTGCTGTTATCAAAAAGTTTCCCTCCCCCGCCCCTTTTCTTGTCCCATTGGAAATATCTTTCCAGAAAAAAAAAAGATACAAGTAGATACTGGCAAAGTCCCATATTGAGTGGGGGAGCGACACTGGCTTTGGCAATGTGAAAGTGGATTTGATGGCATATAGGACTGTGTGCCAGCCCTGGGCTCCACAATTGGAAACAGTGGAGAGTCCCTAGGCTGAGGGAGACCCAGAGCCTCCCCCCGGGTGGAGTTCAAGCAGAAGTCACTGAAAGGTTCGAAGGACAGCTGTGATAAGACAGGTCACTTCTGTTAAAGCAAGGCCAGGGTCAGGCAGGGTGGTCCACACCTTTAATCTCGTCATTCAAGAAGCAGAGGCAAGTGGATCTCTTGAGTTTGCCTGGTCTACATAATTCCAGACCAGCCAGAGCTACACAGTCAGGTCCAGCCTGAAGAACACTCGCACCTTCTAGCCTCACCCCTACAGAGGAGATGGGACTTCCCCCCAACTCAGCCTCACTTTCACAGTACTTCTTTGAAGGATTTTGGGGGTCTCTTGTCTCTGTGGTTCTTTGCCATACCCCATGGTCAACTTCTGTTTTTGTTTTGAGACAGTATCTAGCTATATGGCCCAAACCGAACTGATCCAGATGCCAGGATAGGCATGCACCACCACACCTGGCTACCCCACGGTAAGCCTGTCTGATGGGTTGCAGCCCACATCAGTGTGAGATCCCTAGCTCCAGTGGTTGTTGAGAGGGCCCCAGAACACGCAGGAGAGGCTGGCTTGTAGGAGCTAAGAAGTGGAGTCAGCACTGTCTAAGTCTGCTTGGGGTGGGGGTATGAGAGCACCATGTGTCTGGGGCTGTGATTTTGCATAGATCTTTGGGATTCGTGGAGCCACAGATGCCGGGAGCCCAGGACTGGCCCAGTAAAAGAGGGTAGTAATGGTCCTCAGACCCAGGGGACTGGAAAAACCGCAGTCTGAGTGAAGAAAAGTTCCCCCTGGTTTCCCCCCGGAAACTGCAAAAGAGTCTCTGGGATGTGGAGACAAGGGCTTGCCAGGAAAATATAGGATGTGGCCAGCCTGGGACCACTAATAGGGAGCAAAAAGGATAGGTCCCGCAGCAGGACGGACAGCTCCTGCTGGAGTACGGAACAGAGCTGGGCCCAGGACGGGAGCTGGGAAGAGGGTAGCAGCTGCTGTTGTAGCAGGCCGGAGGGCCAGGGGCCCAGGCAGGGCACAGATGGCAGCAGCTGCGGTGGGCAGAGGACTGGGCAGGAAGCGGGCTGCCAGTGTCTTTGTGAGTTGCTTCTGCAAGGCCAATTTAGACTAAAAAAAAAAAAAAAACAGAGAGAGAGAAATGGACAGGGTCTCCAATACCAGAGAAACCCACCCCTCCCTGGGCCACATCCAGGAGCTTTTTTGCCTTAGGGACGTGACTCCTAGAGTTCCAAGTCTAACCACCTCCTTCCCACCCCCAGACAGCCATTCCAGAGGGCTTGCTGTGACACCTGTCTTCCTGCCCAGCAGATGGGCAACCTTAGGACAGGCAGAGCCAGGACACTGGGAGAGTAGGAAGAGACAGTCCCTAGAATAAGCACACCCACCCTGACTTTTGCCCCCCAGATTATAGCCATAGCCCACCCCACCCACTGGAAATTCCTCTGGGTTTAGCCCAACCCCAACCCTAACCCTGTTCCTGCCCAGGCAGCTGCAGGACCAGCACCTTCCTGCCACACCCCAAGTCTTTTAGCTGGCCCTTCCTCCTACTCTTTTCCCTAGTAGACTGTTGCCTAGAGACAGGTACCTTGAGGACATTCACAGCCAGTGCTGCCTGTTTCTGCAATTTGCTTTGCTGGCTGGAGGGCTTGGGGGGCTTCCCAGCCAGCCGGTCTTTGTGTCGCCGGCTGCTCATATGCTAACAGACAGACAGAAAGGGAGAGAGATGAGGAAGACTACAGAAGTCAAAATTATTGACTGTTGCCCAGACTGTCTTAGACTTCCTCTACCCGCAGATCTCACATTCAACACACATGATGGGTTCTCAGGATGGGGCAAACCTAGGCAGCCAGCTTGCCCTGCCATACCCATCCATCAGTGGGCATCAGCCCTTCCTCCCTTGCTCTGATGCCCACCCAATCCTGGCCCCTTCTCCTACCTGCTTGAGTTGGGTCTCTGAATTGACCTGGAGCTGACAGAGGGCACAATGGAAAGGAGGGCTGGGTCCCTGCCGGCCCCCATGATTTCCTATCACTCTCTTTGTCTTGTGTCCAACCACTGCCCGGTTGGACACAGGACGTCCCCGGCCCCTTCGGGGAGCCCCTTGATGACCTTCCACCATCCATCGGTGCTTAGCTCCTGGAAGGAAAGAAGACAGCTTGTCGGTACGGAAGGGAGGCCACAGCACTAAACTAGATTAGCTGACCGCCCCTTGCACACACACAGCTCCCCAGCCACCTGGGCTTCCCTTCCCAGCATCTCTGGCTTGTCTATGGCTTCCTGTGGACATCCCCCAAGGAAGAAGTTCTTCTTATAGGCATCTGGGCTAACATCCCCTTCCTTTCCTTTTCATCCAAGGGGAATGGAAGAGGGTACTCCTCTTTAGCAACCTTCAGTTCTGGTTGCTGAGACTTCTCTTTCCGGTGCCCCCTCCCTTGGGATCAAGATGAGGACCCAGAAATGCCTGCATAGTAACAGTGGGTGGCGTTCCTCTGTCCCCCAGCCATGGATGACATGGATCCTGGGAAAGCACTGACCTGTGTTGTGAGCCTGAAGCTGCGAGGCCGAGTTTACTGTCACTTTGCATGTAGGGCAGTAGAGGCACCCCTTTTCACTCCTGCCTTCCCCGTTCACTCCACTTCCCACAGCCACTTCTGCTGGCTCAAGCCCTGGGGCTTCTGTGCCAGGATCCAGGGAGCAGGGTGGGCAGGAAGAGGAAGAAGAGGAAGAGGAAGCAGCAGCATCCGAGAGGTCTGAGTGGGCTGGCTCTCTGGCTGCTGTGTCTGGGGTCGGTGATAGCTCAAGTGAAGGGCCTAGGGGAGGGGATGCAGGACCTGCAAGGAGATGGGACATTCGGGAGATTCCAGCCCCTGAGGCTCAGCAATGATGGTGGAGATAGAATGGGAGGGTGGAAGGCTTCCTGATGAAAGGAAAATTAGCACTGAATTCTAGGCTCACCTTCCCACCAAACTCTCTAGGCAAACTTGGGCCTCAGTTTCCCTATATAAAAACTCATAAAACTAGAAGGAGCGCTGGGCATTGGTGGTGCATGCCTTTAATCCCAGCACTCAGGAGGCAGAGGCAGGTGGATCTCTGTAAGTTCGAGACCAGCCTGGTCTACAGAGTGAGTTTCAGGACAGCCTCCAAGATAATACAGAGAAACCCTGTCATGAAAAACTAAAAACCAAACCAACCAACCAAACAAACAAACAAACAAAAAACTAGAAGGAGCAGAATGCCCTGACATTCTAGCACCTCAGTATTAACTAAGCAGAAGTCACAAAAGAGATGTGCTAGAATGTTTATAAAATGTTATTCATGATAGCATAAAACTGGAAATTGCAGAGTCCAACACACAGGAGTTATCAGAAAGGTGGTAGCTCCATGCACTAGAGTAACACTACTACATGTAAACTCATACACATAATGAATATTGGTGAGTTTTTGTTGTTGTTTATTTCGTTGTTTTTTTTTTTTTTTTGGTCAGGGTCTCATGTATTTCATTCTGGTCATGAACTCACTATGTAGCTGAGGATGCTTTTGAACTTCAAATTCTCCTCCCTCCACCTCCTCAGTGCTGTGATCATGGGTTTGTACCATTATGCCTGGTTTTGTGTTGGTGCTGGGATCAAACTCCAGATTTCCCATGTGGTATGTAAACACTCTACCCACTGAGCCACACAGCCAGTCTCCTGTCCTTCATTTTCTGAGACAGGGTCTTTTTTTTTTTTTTTTTTTTTTTGGCTTTTCGAGACAGGGTTTCTCTGCATTGTTTTGGAGGCTGTCCTGGAACTCACTCTGTAGACCAGGCTGGCCTTGAACTCACAGAGGTCCGCCTGCCTCTGCCTCCCGAGTGCTTGGATTAAAAGTGTGAGCCACCAACGCCCGGCGAGACAGGGTCTTATGTAACCTAGGCTAGCCTTGGATTCAATGCATAGCCCAGGCAGACCCAGAACTCTTAATTCTCCTTCCTTGATCTATAAGGAGTGTGGTAGACACTCGTGCCCACTAGCTAAGAAACGGGCTTCTCCCTCTGGCCCTCAGGAAAAAAAAAAAAACAAACATATCCACATTTGATTGAGGGGAAAATATGTTTCTACTGTTTCAGCCACCTACTTTGTACCCATTTGTTCTGCCAGGTTTAGGGAACTAACACAGGTAGTAGTTAGGAAGGATCCTAGTTCAGGCTAGGAGTGCTTGGCTGGGAGCATGTTCCCTGATCCAGACTGAGTCTGAGGATAGTCAGTGAGCAGTAGGAGTCTGCCCATACCCATATACAGAATAATTTCCCAGCAAGAAATATAGTGAAAAGCTAGAGAAATAGCTCAGCAGTTAAGAGTATTTGCAGCTCATGGAGCAGCTGGAGTTCAATCCCTAGCACCCACACAAGGCCACTCCCAACCACTCGTACTCCAGTTCCAGGGGATCTTACGCCCTCTTTTGTCCTCTGTGTTCCATGGGCACCCACACAGACAGACACACTCGCACGCATGCACACAAACAACACAACAACAACAAAAGCAGCCCAAGTTTTACAAAGGAAAAAAGAAAGATGGTGAAGAGCCAGAGTCACTCAAGCCAGGTCAGAAGCCAGCCTTGATGCGGGGACTTGAGTTCAGGACTGACCTTTGCTCTGTGGGCTTCCGGGGCCTCCGCTGGCTGGAGGTGAGGCTGAAGATGCCACTGTCCCATTTGGGGTCAGGTTTCGAGGCCTCTGCTTGCCCTTGGCAGCTTCTACAGCCTTGAGTTTTCTGGCATGTCTGTGGCCCTTGTAATGAGCTTCAGCCTGGTTCTGGGAAAGGGAGGGGAGGTCATATGCCTCGTCCAGGAATGAGGTTGAGCCGAGGGACAGGCCAGAGGGATACGGCATTAAAGGGGCACAAGGCATGGGCACAAGAGGTGAAGTCAGTGTCGTCAACGTCACCACATGCATCTGGTCCTGAGGTTTACAGGATATGTCCTCATAGGTGCTCCAGCACAGGCAGCCTCTGCCTTCAGAACGAAACTTGGCCGTTTATAAACTGTGCTTCTTTAGGTAAATCACAGCACCTCACTGAATTTCCTCGTGTGTGAGTGTGAGTGTGTGTGTGTGTGTGTGTGTGTGTGTGAATGATCTCCACTTGTGTTCCCAGATCCCAGGTACATTCACCAAGTGATTCCCTTGGTGTTTGCCTGTATATACAGAATATTCTGGAAATGGACTACTTAGGTCCAGGCTGGCTTTAAACTCATGATCCTCCTACCTCCCAAGGGCTGGCATCACAGGTGTGCACCACTGTGTCTGGTTTTAAGCTTTGTGACTGTCCAGGTTAAATGGGATATGAATTGTAAGCCAGTTTACAAAGTAGAGGCTCCTGAATGTTAAGGGGTACACATACGGAAAGCAAAGCAGTACTCATATTTTGGACTTATGTACTCCAAAAACATTTATCCTATTGTTCATTTTTTTAAAAATTGAGCATTTGCAATTGGCCCAGCCATTCTGCAAGGGTCTAGGTATGGAGACATGCTCCTTCCAGCAATTTCTTTGCCTGCTTTTTGTGGAATGATGTGACCTAAGCATCTGGAGAGAATACCACAGCTGAACTATAGGCATCCTCCCTGCTTCACTAAGAGTCTCTACTTGTGGTTTCTCAACTCCTATTTCCCAAAGGTGGGAAAGGCAAGCTTCCACAGCTCTCCTAGATCTCTTTGAGTACAGTCCACAGTAGTTTTAACATCTAACTCAAGGCCGGACGGTGGTGGTGCATGCCTTTAATCCCAGCACTCGGGAGGCAGAGGCAGGCGGATCTCTGTGAGTTCGAGGCCAGGCTGGATTGACAACCTCCTAAACAATACAGAGAAACCCTGTCTCGTAAAAACAAACAAACAAACAAAAAATCTAACCCAAACCCCACAGTAAAGATCCTTCTCTCCCAGGATAGGCTGCAGTAGGAGTATGCAGACCGCAGGGTCAGCCAGGACTGGGTTCAAATCCTAACAATGCTATTTCCCAGCTGTGTCTTCGGGCAAGCTATTTATCCACTCCTCAGAAAATTGGAGAGAGTAATTGTGCCTCTGTACTTCTCACAGATGCATCATGGGAGTCCACTAAGAAGACTAAGTGTAGTTGTGCACACCTTTAATCCCAGTACTAGGGAGGCAGAGGCAGGCCGATTTCTGTGAACTTGAGGCCAGCCTAGTCTACATAGTGAGTTCCAGGATAGCTAGAGCTACATAGTGAAACTCTGTCTTGACAACAACAACAAAATTCGCTGGAGCTGGGCATGGTGGTCCACATCTTTCATACCAGCACTAGGGAGGCAGTGGCAGGTAGATCTCTGTGAGTTTGAGGTCAGCCTAGTTTCTATAGCATGTTCCATCCCCTGCCAAAGATACTGGGGTTAATATATGCTGTAAATATCTCAGGTCAAGACCAGGAGCTCACTCACACTATGGCTTCTGGGACATCCAAAAGATGGGTGTGAAGCACAGGGGAGGTAAATGCAATCCCAGTATGCTACATGTGGGTGGGAGGGGTTATGAGAAGGGGAGGAGTCAGCAGGTGATGGGGTGTCAGAGCACAGCCTAAAGAGGCCCAGCTCCCTCCCACCCACATTTCCATGACTCCCCCTCACCGCTGAGTTGAACCTCAGGTGACAGATGTTACAGGAGATGAACAGCTTCTTCTTCAGCGGGGAGGGGACCCCAAACGTGTGGCTGATGACAGCTTTCTGGACTGGGTCCATCTGTGAGGGGGAATGATAGGGCTTAGTTCCTCCTGCATACTCCTGAAAGGTACAGTTCCAAATGTACTCAGCCTCCCAGACCTCTCCTGTCCTGTGTCTATAACCCAGACAAGGGCACAGCCTCTTCCTGGCAGACCCAGTTTGTCAGGCCACAAGGGGATGGCCAGGGTGACCTGACTCTGGAAGGATCACCTTGGCGTCTCTTGCTGCCCTTCTGGTCTTAATTCTTGGTTTTTGGCTTCTCCTTTTGAAGGGGCACAGTATTGGGACAAGGAGTTGAGCTCAGACTGTAACAGGGAAGGGACAAAGATTCTTTTGGTGGGATTTCCTTTTTCCCAGCCCAGCTTTTGTGTCTGGAGCTGCTGGTGGGAACAAGAAGCCCTGCTGCATCAGCCCTGCCACTGTCCTAGAGTCTGATGTCTGCTAAGGAGAGTGAAAGCCATGGCCAGGGAGGTGGGTGGCCAAGAAGGACAGCACAGGGAGGCCTTAGTCCCCGCACCCCCCCCAAGTAGCAGGATTGTCCCTTTAGAATATGAACTTGAATGTTTTGTTGTTTCCTAATTAAAGTTTCGGACAGTTTTTCTTTCTTTTTTTGTCTATTTATTTATTTTTTGAGGCAAGGTCTAATCTAGTTCAGGCTGGCCTTGGATGCCCTGTCTTCCTGCCTCTGCTTCCAAGTGTTGGATTATAGGTATGTAACATCAGGCAATTTTCTTTCTTTTGAGGATAGTCTCAAGTAGTCTAGGCTGGTCTTTATCTCACTTATAGCCGAGGATGACCTTAGATGTCCCTCCTGCCTCTACGTCCCACTCATTGGGATTAAAGGCATGTGCCATCACATCTGACTTATGCAGCCCTGAGAATCAAACCCAGAGCTTTGTGTGTGTGAGACAAGCACTTTGCCAACTGAACTATAGTCCAAGCCACTCCCACGTTTTTTTCTATTGTCTTTTCTCAGGGGTCTAAGTTTTGGGGTTTGTTTTTAAACAGAGTCTCACTTCATAGCTCAGGCTGGCCTTTAACTCACTGTGTAGCCCAGGTTGTCATTAATACACATTCCTTCTACCTTACTCTCCAGAACACTGGCATCAAAGGCAGGGCCACCATGCTGTGCTTTAGGGGCCTAGATTGTTGGATTCAAACCAGAAGTTGTCTGGTTTAGTCAAAAGGAACTTTCCAAACCTTCTCATGGGAAGAAACCAGAGGCAGAGAGGAGAACATGCTATGGTGACTGCCCTGAGAACAGAGGCTCCAACCTGGCCAGTGTCCAAGGTAGAGCAGCTCCTGTATCAGGACCTTAGAGGGAGGCCTTGGCACTGGGCCAACAGTGGTGTCACTTGCCTTTGAGCAGTGAACACCTCTGTAAATGACAGTAGGGATTGAAGCCCATAGGCCCATGCCCAAATGTGTCATACTCCTCAGGACCTGTGTTCAACCCTGGAGATGACAAAAGGGAGGGAGACTCCTACAGGTTAGTGGGAGTCTCCTGAGGATGGAGTGGAATTCATCCATGATTTCATTTGATTTTCAGAATTAAAAAGGATGCTGTTCCTCGCACCTCACAGAGTACTCCAACATTTTTCCTACACCCCCCACGCATGCACACGTGCACATACACACATACACACACACAGAGAGACAGAAATACACAGACATAAGCTTAGAGGGAGTTATAGACTCACAAGGAGAAAGACAATTTCTGACACACAGATACTATACAACCACGGGTGGACTCTCAGTCACTTAAAACACATACATACCCAGGACATAAGAGAAGACACAATGACATCCAAATCCTTCAGATTCACATACACACATATTACGCATAATCGTCTAAGCATACACACAAAAGTCTTCACAAACAATATACAAATTCATACCCACCCATAATACACAGACCTCCAGAGATACAAGTCCCAATGCAAAGATATAACTCAAGATCTGGAGTGACAACTCAACAGTTAAAAGCACTTGCTAGGCAATCATGAAAACTGGAATTCAGATCCCAACACCCACACAACGAACCAGGTGCCCTAGCAAGTCTGTGACAGCTCCAATAGGGCTAGAGGCAGGAGGATTGCTGGATCTTGGTGGTCTCCAGCCTTACTGAGAAAACAGAAGCTCCAGGTTCAGAGGGCATGCAACGGCCTGTCTGGCTGCTGCACATGCATGGGCATATGTACCCACACATGTGAACATATAGTCACTCAAGCACATAACTAAATAAAGAAATAATAAAATAATCTTTAACCCAAAAATCAAAGACACAACCCAAGTGCATACAGACACACCTGGATCATACACACACACACACACACACACACACACACACACACGCGCACACACACACACGCACACACAATCTCTGGGGAGTTGTGATGGTGGGGTGAGAACGACACACCTTCATCTCTAGCTAGGAGACAGCTGGGTTCTGGGTCCCTATTGGTAGCACCTAGAGTCAGCTGAGTCACCTTTGCCCACCCCACACCGGCATATGCCCTCGCCCTCCTTCCCAGCCCATACCGTGCTGAAGTTGGGGAAGAGACTGAGTGGGGTGGCGCCATTGAAGTGTAAGGCGAGCAAGTGCTTGAAGTCCAACGGAGTTTGCAGAGGCCGGGTGGGCAGGGTCAGGGAGGCCAGCAGGGGGCTGGGGGCGCTGGAGGCCAGGCCTGCTGCAGGAGGAAGAAGGGCAGGGTCTGAAATGAGGAGCCAGAGGCCTCTCCTACCTCTGCTGCCAGAAGGAAAGGCTGTTGTACAGCCAGGACAGGAACTCCTGGCCCCCTCTTTATAACTGCAGCCGAACCAAGTTGAGAAGCAGAGTCAGGGAGCTACAGTTCAAATCTCCCAGGCAGAAGAGTGGTCCTCTCTCATAGACACCCAAAGGGAGTTCAACCAAGAGAGGGGTCAGAGGAGTCAGGGTTAACATACACACATCCATGGTGACAGTATGATGTGCTGTGTTCCCACTTTATCCCAAAGCACCAAACTCAGGGAGTGTAGGGAAGGGACAACTCCCTTTCCTCCCACTAATTGTTCCTTCTCTCACTTCAGGTTTCACACCACTCACAGAAGGGATGAGAACAGACCCCACTGCATGGGGCTGGAGAGATGGCAGTGATTAAGAGTGCTAGTCATGGGCTGGAGAGATGGCTCGGAGGTTAAGAGCACTGACTGTTCTTCCAGAGGTCCTGAGTTCAATTCCCAGCAACCACATGGTGGCTCACAACCATCCGTAATGAGATCTGGTGCCCTCTCCTGGCTTGCAGACAAACATGGAGGCAGGATGTTGTATTCATAATAAACGAATAAATAAATCTTTAAAAAAAAAAAAGAGTGCTGGTCATTCTTCCACAGGACCTAGGTTTGATTCCCAGGACCCACATGGTAGCTCATAACTGTAACTTCAGTTCCAGTAGACCCGATGCCTGCTTCTGACCTCTGCAGGCATCAGACACACACATGGTACCCATACATATATGCATGCAAAGCATTCATTCATAGATATAAAATAAATCTTTAAAAAAACACCCACAAAATTAAAAAGAAAGAAAGAAAGCTACAGCATCCTCAAGGTTTGTGTCTCCAGTTCTGGTGAGACCCCAAACCAGTCCTAAGGATACCCAGGAACAACACTGTGGTTTTGCAGTCTTTGGTCTTAACTGTGTAAACCAAAGGCAGGAAAGGGCTGGGAACCAACGAACCAGATTTTAAGGAAGGGAAGAAAAAAAAAAAGCAGATATCAATCCAGGTTATTGGAAACTTTCTTAGGTCCTGTAATTGCAAAACCAGAAGAAGTCCTTTTCAATTCTTGGGTGTTAACCCTCTGAAATGTAAGATGGGTTTATTTAGCATCTGCAGATGTATGTCTGTAAACAGTCATGTACAGAAAAGCCCGCAGGCAGGGGGGAGGAGGAGGGAGGGCACCACTACCTCTCCTGAGGCATCAGTGTGTACTATTAGCTTGTGCACAGATAGCACTGCACTGTGGGTCAGAGACAAGCACTGGCATCTGGTTTACAATCTCTTAAGAAAAGAGACATGCTGGGCAGTGGTGGCACACGTCTTTAATCCCAGCAGGGGCAGGCGGATCTCTGTGATTTCGAGGCCGGGCTGGACCGACAGCCTCCAAAACAATACAGAGAAACCCTGTCTCCTAAAAAAAAAAAAAAAAAAAAAAAAGAGACACTGCAAAGCATGGGATGAGGAAACTCCCGGGTACCCCTTCTTCTTCAACTTTGTTCCCCTACTTCTAAAGCCCAACCTTCTTTCCTCCAACTGGAACCCGAGGGGAGCAAAAGCAAACTCTAGAAGGTCACAAGGGACCGGAACTGTCCAGAACCTAGCCAGCACCTCTACCAGTTGCCCAGGCTCCCCTTTCCTCATAGGCCAGGGGTCTGGCTTATGAACAGCACAGTTAGTAGGTCATGTTGAGTGTAGCAAGGTTAAGTGTGTCTGAGTTCCCTTCACTTTCCACTGCTGCCGGCTAAGGGGAGGCCGTCCTCAGGTGTCCCAGGAGTCCCTCCCCCATCTGCTTTCTAAGAACTCCACGACCAGTGCAAAATCAAACTCATGCGGGGAAGGGGGGACATCCACAACAATCTTCATCATGTGGTCGCCATGGCCAGCCCTGGACCCTGCTCTGTCCCCACCACTGCAGTTTGTGGTTGCAGCCCACCTTGTCCAGCAGCCCCGGGCGGGCAGCACCAAGGCTAGGGCGCCGAACTCAGAAAATAGCTTGTGGAGGTTGGATCGCGCACACACCAGCTTGACCACAGGGCCTGAGGGCAGAGACTCCCGAGGCTGGCCACCTTGAGCTGGAAGAACTCGAAGTCGCCCAGTGCGCTGGTGCACCAGTGCCCGGCAGCAGCACCCGCATAGCCCCTTGCCGTGCGCTCCTCCGGGGGTTTGAAGATCATCGCCAACGCGGCCACTGCATCCAGCGAGATTTCGGGGAAAGAACACCCCAGCGTGCGCGTGCATGGAGTCCAGGAAAGCTTCCTGGAGGCGCTCCAAACCTTGCAGCGAAGCCTCTAAGTAGCCCAGCAGCTCCACACCGTGGTCGCCACCCGCCACCCGAGTTGGGGTCGGACTCAGAGATCGCTAGCTCTGGCAGGAAGCCCTGGAGATGCGCACCCGGAGACAGCGCTGAGCTTGCAGCGAAGCTGCGGCAGCCATCACTACGGGCTGCAGGACCAGGTTCAACTCTTTTGAACTGCAGTATCAGGGCAAGCTTCTGCACCAAAGGCAGAGAGGGTGTGGAGCAGCTGATGAAGGCTCTGAGGCCAGTGCATCAGCCGTCCGAGAGGCCAGGACAGTGGCTCCCAAGGTGCTCACCAGGCAAGGCCAGGCCTCAGTCACTATTTCTGTAACAGGCAATGAGGAGGAACAATATACTGACCCGGAGGACAGTAACTGACGGAGTATTGACCTGCCAAGTCAATAGCTGCAAGGTTCGGGGCTGCCTGGAGCCCAGGGGCCATATCATGTGGGAACTGGGATCATGCAGACATAATAAGGCATCTAACATGCTCTCATAATCACCCAGATGTCAGACAGTGAGCAGAGGGCAAGAGGCTCTGAGCTAATACTCCCCAGTAGGTCACTGGGAAGGCTTGAACTGAGCCAGGCCAGTTTGGGTACAGATATGCCAAAAGCTTGTAGGCTATCCAGGAGCTGGCAAGGGATAGCCTCACCCGCCTGCAGCTCCACACTGCCTAAGTAAGTGGTAGCAGGCTGGCCATCACATGGGGACACCAAAGTGGCAAACAGGGACAGAGTACGGGACGCTGCCCAATCCCTGGTCTCTTCTAATACCAGTCTCACATCTGGGAATGCCTTTGGGTGCTGACAGGCCTCTTCGTGCAAGACGCTGGCACTGGTATCTGGTATAGCTGGGGGAAAGAAGGAAGGAAGAGGGAGGCTGTCCTCCAGGCTGGGGATGGTGGGTGGTGGCAGTAGGGAGGGAAGGAAGCAAGCAGGGCTGCTGGAAAGAAGCAGCTTGGGGCCAGACAGACTCTTACACTTATCGACTGGGCTACCCAGGGCAAGTCGCTTTACCTGTCTGAGTTCAGCTTTCTCAGCTCTAGTTCCTGCCTGCCCGCATCTCCCTAAAAGGCTACTGTGAGTTATACATGTAAATCTGCTATTGCGTTTATGAATGTAAAGTGATTTACCAACCATAAAGAATGCTTGGCCGGGCGGTGGTGACGCACGCCTTTAATCCCAGCACTCGGGAGGCAGAAGCAGGTGAATCTCTGTGAGTTCGAGACCAGCCTGGTCTACAGAGCAAGTTCCAGGATGGCCTCCAAAAGCCACAGAGAAATCCTGTCTCAAAAAAACAAGAAAGAGAAAAAAAAAAAAGGATGCTAAGAAGGATGAATTGTTGTGCTCTGTTGCTCTGTTTTTTCTGTTCTTTGCAGTCTTGCCCTAATCTGCTTTATTCCTGCAGGGGTGGGGCTCTCCCTTTAGTTGATAGCTCAGGGTCTCACTACTAGACATATTCACTAGCAATTCCTGGCCATCTCAAGGGTCCCAGCTACGTGCTGTAGTATTCACAACTCTTGGGGCCACATGCGTGGTTTATAGCTTGAAGGGAGGCCAGGGATAAAAGTGGAAAATTTATGGAGAGTCCAGGATCTGCCCTGATCTGGAAGCAGGAAGATTTCCAGCAGATATCACAAAGCCAAATCTTTACCATCTCTGGATTTATTTTTTAAATGTATCCAGACAGGCCTCAAGTTCGCTGTGTAGCTAAAGATAACCTTTAATTTCTTTTTTGTTTGTTTGCTTTGTTTTTGTTTTTGTGAGACAGATTTCCTCTGTGTAGCTTTGGAGACCAAACTGGCTTCAATACACCTGCCTCTGCCTCCAGAGTGCTGGGATTAAAGGCATGTGCCACCACACCTAGCTAAATTTTTAAAATTGAAACTAAATCGAGTTTTTCAAAATGCAATGAAAAACTCATCAAACCCAACAATAAGTCAATCATGGACCCAGATGACCAGTTTACAACCTCTGACCCAGGGAGTGAGAAGTGTGACTGTGTTCACCCAGTGACAGGGCCCAGGTCTGGCTTCTTCACCATTGTACTCAATGTGGCTGACCCAGTGCCAGCCACGTAGGCAGCCCTTGGTGAAGATTTGACCAGTGGAGGTTTGAATGAAGTACATTGGTTCCTATCCAGGGCCCTGGCATACTGGAGCCTTTCCCAGATGGCTCAGTGCCTCCCCCCTTGGTCCTCCCCTTACCTCTGGCTGTCACCCACCTGCATGTCCCTCACCCTCCTGGGACTGTAGTATTCGCCATGCTCTGTGCCCAACAGTGCCTGACACAGGTTGAACCTCTGCAGCTCGACCAGAGCAGAGCATTGGTTATCAAGCACACCCCAGGGGTCAGCATAGCACAGGTCTGCCTCCACCTTGGTGGCCCTGGAGGTGGGAGTGACTGTCAGTGATTGTAGGTCCCTTCACCCTCAGCGGCCCTTCCAGAGCAAGATGACCCCGGTTGACTGCCGGAGCCTGGTGGGGAGCTCCTGAGGTGACATGATACAGCAGGGCACGTTGTTGGAAGTGTCTGTGCCCTGTGTGATGGCATTCCCGGCTTTGCCATGCTTGCATGTTAGCTTCCGCTTGCTGAAGCAGCAGCAGCAACTACAGGGGAAGCTGAGCCAGAC